TTTCTCTCTGTCTCTCTCTCACTGTCCACTCTGCCTGTCAAAAAAATAAAAAATATATATTAAAAAAAAAAGAATTCATCACCATCACCACAATAGAAATGCCTAACATTTAGGAAGCACTTGCCATACACAGGAGGGACTTCCAAAAGTTTGTGGAAAATGGAATTAAAAGATAGGGGCCAGCGTTGTGGTACAGTGGGTTAAGCTGCTGCCTACAATTCCCGCATCCCATATTAGAGTGCTGGTTTGAGTCCCGGCTACTCCTCTTCCCATCCAGCTCCCTGCTAATGCACCTGGGAAAGCAGCGAAGATAGCCCAAGTCCTTGGGCCCCTGCCACCCAGGTGGGAGACCCGGATGGGGTTCTTGGTTCCTCCTTTGGTCTTGCCCAGCCCCAGCTATTGCAGCCATTTGAGGAGTGAACCAGCAGACAGCAAATGTCTTTCTCTGGCTCTTTCTGTCACAATAATAAATGAACCTTTTTTTAAAAAATTATTTTTGAGCAAAAGATTTTGAAATCCAAAAAAAAAAAGTTTTGAAATCCATGCATGTGACACAGTCTTCAAAAAGTTCAAGGAAAGTGTGTGTTATGAAAAGAAACTACGTATGCATTTCAAAGTCTTTTGGCACCAAAATGAGCTTATCCTTTAATTCTATTTTCCCACAAACTTTTTTTTTTTCCAAATTTATTTTATTTACCTGAAAGGTGGAGTTACAGAGACAGGTAGACAGAGAGAGAGAGAGAGAGATCTTCTATCCACTGGCTCACTCTCAAAACGGCCACGACTGGGGCTGAGCCAGGCCCAAGCCAGGAGCCAGGAGCCAGGAGATTCTTCTGGGTCTCCCACGTGGGTGCAGGGGCTCAAGCACTTGGGCCATCTTCTAGTGCTTTCCCAGACCATAGCAGAGAGCAGGATGGGAAATGGAGCAGCCAGGACTTAAACCAGTGCCCATATGGAATGCCAGAGCTGCAATCCAGGGCTTTAACTCACTGAGCCACAGCGCTGCCGCCCCCATACAAACTTTTTGAAATACCCCTGTAGATTACCTCACTGTTTTCTCAACACACTTTAAGAAAGGTGCTACTGTTATCCCCATCTTAAAACAGATTAGGAAACTGAGGCACAGAAAGGTTAAATAATTTGGAAGACAAATAGTGGCCAAACTAGGATTTGGAACCAGACAGTCTGATTCCGGGCGATGTTGCTAAATACTACCAAGGTACTTGTGTTTTATTGGGAGGAGACAGAGGGAGAGAGAGGCACTGTGAGGGGCCAGAAATAGAAAGGTTTCTTGAGAGCATTGGCCTGGGTCTTGCATCACGTCACCTGGTCACAGGACAGATCCCAAGGCCAGACGGACAAGGGCACATCCACACAAATGCTCTGAGACAAGACAGTCACGGTCTGTACCACTCTCTGTCTCCACTCTTTTCTGTCCTGGTGAGATCAATCAGGGTCTAGCCATTGTAGACTTTAGCATGGGTCTCGCGAGCCTAAGGGATGACGGGAACTATCCCTAAGGGATGACGGGAACTATCTCTGGCTCATGGGGCTCTGGAGTGGCCACTGAGAGCTTGGGTGACAGAACCAGATGACACTTCCAGAGGCATGGGTCCGTGGTCCCAAGAATTCCCAGTCAACTGGGCTCTGGGCTCTCGAGCCCCACCCCTACCCTGCCCCAGTCCCGATATAAAACTATCTCAAAATTTCTCTCTGCTGCCACATTGTCCCTGACTTTGGGGGAGGGCTGCCATTTTGCTTTGGACAGTCAGGGCCTGGGTTTGAATCTCACTGCCTGTGATGATTTGGGGGAGTTCTCTTGGTGCCTCCATTTCTTCCTCTGTCAAAGGGGATAATAACAGAACCTACCTCCTCCAGTTGTTGTTGTTAAGATTTATTTTATTTATTTGAAAGGCAGAGATACAGAGAGAGAAGGAGAGATGTTCTATCCACTGGTTCACTCTCCAAATGGCCACAATGGTGGAGCTGGGCCAGGCCAAAGCCGGGAGTCAGGAGCCAGAGGCTTCTTCTGGGTTTCCCATGTGGGTGCAGGGACCCAACCACTTGGGCCACCTTCTGCTGCTTTCCCAGGTCATTAGCAGGGAGTATGATCAGAAGTGGAACAACTAGGACTAGAACCAGTGCCCATAGGGGATGCCGGTGCTGCAGACAAAGGCTTAGCCTTCTATACCACAGCACCGGGTCCTCCTCACTCCAGTTGTTCTAAGGATTAAATAAATGAATCCATATCAGCCATCATATAAAGCACTTTAAGCACTCAATAAATGTGGGCAATGGTAATTATCCACATCTTTCCTGCATTTGAGAAGTGATTCTGTCTTAAGCCTCATGCATTGTCACGTCCGGTAGGGAGTGGCCTCAGGAACAAAGCCTGTGGCCTTGCCAGGCCCCACAGGCGTGTGCTCAGGCCTCTCTTAGAAAGGAAATGGTTTCATCACCTAGCTGCCTAAGTCGGGGCCACTTTCTTCAGGGCAGGGCTCTCTGTGGCTTTGACTGCACCCAGACCCCAGCGTCCACGGTGCACACAGAGACATAAGCCATAATGGTCCTTCACTGCAGGCCCAGAGTCTCATCAAGCTGGGCCTTGTTCTCGCCCACGGACAAGTGAGGAACCCTTGGAAACTGTGCACTTCTGAAGGTCCATTGGTTGACCTGGCTGGAAGACTATGACTGTCAACCTTCAGCAAGGAAACCTTTGCATTCAAAGAAAGGCCAGCTCAGGCTCTAGGGCGAGGATGCTTTGTGGGCTGGCAGAAAGGCCCTTTTCACATGGGTTCCAGAGCCAGGTTACCTTCTGTTGGATCCTGGCACCGTCACTTATCAGCTGGGTGATCTGGCAATTTCTTCAATCCCAGTTTCTAACTGGTAGGAAGGGATGATGATAATGGTACTCACCTCTTCAGTTGTTTTGAGGTTTAAATGAGATTGTACTAAAACACCCAAAACAGTGCATGGCAACAGAAGTGCATGTGCTAGCCATTATTTCTCACTTGCTAGGGATGCTTCTGTTCTGGACGGAGGCTCTTATCAATAAAGGGACCACACAGAGTTCTAGAGTAAGTCAACTTGACCCCATGCCTGTTGTCTTTGAGTGCTACAAGCTTGTGGTGGTGGTGGGGGGGAGGGGGAGAGGTATCCCTGCTTTGTGCCTTTTAGGAAAGCTCATATTTCAACTTGGGAAATACAAGACTCCCCCAAAGTAGAGCACGATTGTCAATTAGCTTGACCACTAACTGACAGAGAAGTAGAAATCCTCATTGTTTCCCTGAAAATGCCCAAATTAGTACCCCGCCGCCTCGTCTACAGTCCTGTAATAAGCAGACTTTGTATTGGGTTTGGATACAGCTCATGAATCTCAACTGTGACCTGGGGAGATTGTTAACGTGCAGGTGCTGCCGACGATGGTTTTGTTCTGCTCCCTGTGCCATTCCTCCTCTGCCTGAAACCGGACACAGGAGGACTTTTGGTTCAGGAGCAGAATTTAAGGTGTTCAGGAGTAGTCAAGACTCAGGATAACCCAACCCCAAGGGACTCGACCAACTGGCTCCTGATCCCAGATCTTGGGGTGAGGGGAGTCTGGCAAGCCTGCCCTTTGACCTGAATCTGGGTGACGTTAGTAGTGCAGGTATAGGTGAAATGGCAGCCACACCTGGCTGGTCCGTAAAAAGGAAATACTTCCCACACCTCACTTTCTCACAACAAGGGCTCCAGGTGAAGGCATCCCCAGTGTGAGCCGCTGGCTTTAACGTCTGGGTGTGGCTGCAGGAACCACCCAGTACAAACCGGAGTGAACCTGCTGCCCTTTCCCTCCCCTGCTGCCAAGTCAAACAGAACACAGGGAACACAAATAGAATCATCACAATAAACCGGTTGTTGGAGCCAGACGCAGGAGGACCCACTCCCTGGCTCTGCCACCCCCTCCACCAGCCCAGACACGACGAGCTGCTCCGAGGGCTGTGGAAGGCGTGGCCCGTGGGCATTCCTGCCCATCTAGCAACCCTCCGGCTTGTCTGTACTCATCACCACCCACATGGACCTCTCCAGGAGCTGCCAAAGGCGGGAGGGAGGAGGGTCTCCCCTTCCTCCAAGCCCTGGATGGCGGGGAAGTGCCCGCCCCACCCACTCAGCTTGACTAACTCTGCTTGTCGAGGAGGGAACTCTTCAAACACATTAAACCCCTGAAGGCATCTGAGGGCTGCAGGAATCCGTGCTGGACGTGCTTCCCAGCAGGGTCACACATGGGGGGAGGGGGAGCGAGGAGCAGCAGAGGGAGGGGCCAGGCCTGAGCGCCAGCTTCAGACAGATCTGGTTAGAGCTCTCCAGGCAGCCTGAGAAGTCGCGCAGTGCCCAGCCTCGCCCTGGGCAGGTCACAGGCTCCCAGCAGCCGCCCAGACCTCTCTGCTGTGTGTGCTCTGGGGCCTGTCTCTCTCTGCCTCCCTGGGTCTTGGGCCAATGAGGAAGTAGGTTAGTCCCAGGCGGCAAGGCTCCACAGTCTGACTTTGTGGTGTCAGCACCTTTTCATGAAGTTCTTGCAGATCTCACAAGAGATCAAAGTGTCCCCGTGCAAAGGAAAGCTTGTGGAACGACCCAGGCAGAGCTGTGCTGTGTGTTCCACTGCCTCCTGGGGTTGTGGGGATCGCAAGAGCTCCGACAACAGAGACCAGGGCCAGAAGCCCGCTCTGTTGTGCGTCTTTGGACAGGTTCCTTAACTGCGTGAGCCTCAGTCTCTTCGGCTATCAAGATGAGCATAAGCAGCCCCGGTCATCAGGCGTGTTTAGAGGAAAAATGAGATGACATTGAGGAGGGGCCTCTATACAGCCCTGTCACATGGAAAATTCGAGATACATCTTGCCTGCCATTTCCTTCTCCCACACCCTCTCTCAGTGGCTTGCTGGGGCCTTGGGTGTCCTGAAGAATAGAAAGAGAGATCTTGAGAGAGACAGAATCTACAGTCAACAAACCATGTTAGTTCAACTTACCCCTGAGTTGAAATAGGAGAGATAAGGAGGACTGCCAGGCCACTTTTCCAGGTGGCAAGATGGGTTACTTCTGCGCCCGGGGTAAGTCGCATCGGCGCTTTCCCATCTGAAACAAAACACAAACCACTTCGTCCCTCTGCCAGAATCTGATTTCATCTTCCCTACCCACAAGTCAGCCTGTCCCATTAGCCTGACCTTGAGGTTTCCCTCTTCTCCATCTGCCTCCCACTCAAGGTGGAGCTGGAGTGGGGGAGGACACTCTCAGACAGGTATAGCTTGACCACGAATTGATGGAAGAAGTAGACATTCTCATGCTTCCCCGAAAATGTCCAAACTGGTACATTGCTGCCTTGTCCTAAGTCCTGTGATAAGCAGATTTTGAGCTGGGTTTCAATACAGGGCCTGAATCTCAACTATTATTATTATTATTATTGTTATTGTTAAATATGCAGATGATAGTCTTGTTCCATTCCCTGTGCCCTTCCTCTTGTGTTTAGAACTGGACAGCAGTTTACATAAGGTCAGTGTCTTCTACCTGGTGAGGACCAGACATAAGAAACCCCATGGTGCAGATGAGTGGACGGGGCAAGGGGTTGGGACGTGCCAGTCAGCTGGGTAGGAGCCCAGGGAGTGGCCACAGAGCGGGAAGGGAGCTACAGGGGAGCCGTCTAGGGACCGGTGCCGGGGAAGTGAGTAATGAGTGGATCAGAGGATGGAGCAAGACGGTGTTGAAAGGGCATGGCCATGCTCTGTGGGCAGGTGGGAATGCTGCTGGGCCCTCAGAGGGGAGCCTGGAGGTGCGCACTTGGCAGAGACGGAAAGGGGGCAGGGTTTGTGTTGCCGGAGAAAGGGCGGGAGCTCTGGCCAGCTCCCCAACGCCATTCACTTCCACCAACTCCTTCTTTCACGTTCCTACCATAGGGAACAGACCCTGCGTGCTCACTTTTTAAAATTCCAGCAGATTAATACACAAGGCTTAAATTCAGACTGTGACCCTGGAACTCCACACGCTGCCCAGGGCGGCCGTCTCCACAGGGTCCCGCCTCGGTTCCTTGATTCGGTGTCCAGAGTCGTGTGAAGGCACGGCTGGCGCACGCGGAGACTTCTCACGCTGCGAGGGCTTGCAGTGCCAAGACGGGCCCCAGCACAGCCCAGCGACAGCTGCGGCCCAGCTTCCCCGGCCCTCCCGTTTCTCAGTGCCACACTTCCCAGGGCTGTCTCGGTTTTCCTCTGACAGGACTGTACTTAAACGCAGTTCCCAGGCACGGCTCTCTCAAGTCTTCCACTACGCGCCAACTCCTTTCTGCTCCTCCTGGGTTCTGGGGTTTCCTGCGACAGTGGGAAAGGTCTCCGAGCTGGGTTTTGCGCCCGTCTCGCGGGCAAGGCAAGTTTGGTCAGCGGTTTGCTCTGTGGGCTGCCGTCTGGAGCAGACGCGGTTAGGGAGGTCACCCTGACAGTCGTGGCCGACCGAGGGCGGAGGGAGTGGTCTAGGCTTGGCCCTCAGTCTGGGAGTCCCGGGCAGCACAGAGCGGTCTTGGCTCAGGACCCGAGGCTGAGGCGTGCTGGGACAGCCTAGGGGGTGTCCTGGCTTTCCAGGGGCGGGGGAACCCTCTCTGGCCCGGGGGCGGGAGACGCCGTTCCACAATCGGTTCTGTCTCCACTGCCGCCTCAGCACTTTCTAATTGCAGTCCCAAACAACAACAGCCGCCGCCGCAGTCATAGCAACAGGCCCCGCCCCCGGCCGCCCGCGCGGCCCGCAGCACGTGACGGCGACGCCTGCGTCGCTCCCCCCGCCCCTGGCGCTCTGGGAGGGCGGGGAGGCGCTGGCGGCGGGGTGGAGGGGAGGGATGACGTTTGCTCTGTCGTCTCCATGGATATAATGCATAGACGTCAACGTCGCCAGTGTTTAGTGTGTAACGTTCTTCGGTCTCCATGGGAACGTCAGGCGGCCAAACACCGGGCCCCAGCAACAGGCCTGTGATTGGCCCGAGGCTTCCGAAGGCGGTGCTTGGTGTCCCGCGCCCGCTCTGCCGCGTTGCTGTTATGGTTGTTGTCTCCCGCTTGTTTATTTCGCTAACAGATCTTGGAGGCTGAGGTCTGGGGCCGTCGCCAGGGAGGGGATCCAGGAGCGAACGTGCTTCACGTGCAGCCTGCTCCTGCCCCTAACAGCACGGCAGATGCCACCGTGCCGGGGCCGGCTCGGGACCCTCGCGCCCGGCCTGTGGCGGCGGCGCACCCCTGCCCCCGCCCCGAGTCGCGTTACCGCGGTGCGGTTACCCCTTAGCCACAACCAGAGACCGTGGAGTCTGCACAGTCAGGCCTGTCTGTGCTCCCCTCCGCAGACCCAGCGCCCCCGCCTCTAACCCAACACGGGCCCGGCTGCATTGTCCCAGCTGGTCCTGATTCTGTTGCATGACATCATTTATCCGCAGTCCCGCCCCGAGATGTCCAGATTTTTTTTTTTTTTTTTTTTTTGGTAGCCTAAGTGTATTTCAAAGAATCCCAAAGGACTTGGGTGGATACTTCTATTTACAGATTTATTGAATCATACTCTTTTCTCTGCCTATTTTAGTTCAAGTGGGGGGGGGCATTTTCCTTCTCCGAAAGAAATAGAATAAGTTGAGGACAGAGACGGAGTACTACACAGTGAGTTCCCAGATTTCTTGCTATGCAATACGGTATACTACACATTCCAAGGAATATCTCCAGACACACTTTTCACCTTACCCTGAGCTCACATCAGTGAAACCGAGTTAACATCTGGCGAGAGATAGTGATCTAGCCTCAGGGGTTTCAATCCAGTCCTGCATAAAAGAATGCATTAGCATCTTTGGTTATGGTGTCAAATATAATAAATCTTCATCAGCTCATGCGCACACAAGTCTGAAATGTTTCATAAAAGGTTTAGATGACCCGATAACATGTTTTCAAAGCCGGGGGAGAGAGAAAGGGAGGGAAGGAGGGAGAGAGAGAGAGACTGATACAAACCTCAGGTTAAAAAACAAGAAAAAAAATTACTCTCTAGATTGGGGTCAATAGGGAAGGTATACCACTGTCTCTGTTGGGATCTCAGCCACTACCTCCTTTCCCTTTATCTGCTCCTGTGAATTTCCTTGCTAATTCCTCTGCCCACCCCCCTTTCCATCCTTGGCCAGCCTCATGGCCTGTGATTTCCTTCGGAGATGTGAGTGAAATTGAATGAAATTGGGAGCCTGCTTAATGCAAATAGGACCAAAGGGCACAGCTCTTTATCATAATGAACTTCATTCTGATTAAGTCAGGCACTGCAAGTGCTTACTATTTACACAGTAAATATATTAAATTGCCAGGCAAGTCTCCTGTCCTGACACTGCCAGGGAATATTTGAAAGTCTGAATAAGATCATTTGTAGACCATCAAACATCCCTTTCTAATTCTATCATCTCTCTTTATGTTTCCAGGAATCCAGAGTGTCCTGGTCTCTGAGAGCCGATCTATCTAGGTTACTCGAAAGGAAGAAGAATGAGGCAGTGTTGACAGTGTCCACTGAGGGTGAGCTGGAGGCTGGAAGAGGTGCCGGAGGGCATCTCCTCCGTGTGGAGGAAGAAGAGGGGAGGTGTGGGATGAGGGAGCCTCTCCGGGCCTGGATTTGACTCTAGCATCTAACCAGATTTTACGACACTGTCCAACGGCATTGGTTCTAACCCCCAAGCTTCGTCCTTTCCTTTCGCTGGATACCCAAACGTAGTAGCAGGCCAGGGAATTTTTAATCCAGGAAATACAAAATAGATTATAGCTTTGGTGGTACCATCAGAAGCAATTTGCTTCATGTGTGTTTGCACATGAATGTGTGTGTGCGCACGCACACACCCTCTTCCATCCTGTGTTTCAGCCAAGAGGCTCTAGTTTGCTGACCGAATTCAACGTCAAGACCACGATATCCTTCTGTGCTGCTGACTTCCTCAAACCGCAAGACGATTAACCTCCCAACTTACTTCCTCTTTTGTAGAAAGCGATCTGCAGGATGCCCGGCCCTCCCGTGCTCACTGTGACTCCGGGGCACTGTCGTGGGGCCGATGCTCGCGAGCTGGCACTCGGAGACACCGAATGCTGGACAAGTGCTGGAGGGCCGCTCACGACCCCTTTCCCTCCAGCACCTCCCCACCGCGTGCTCGGTGGAGCCTCTGCCACACGTCCTCCGCGTGTCTGTCAAACAGGCCTTGGCCCATGTCAGGATGTGTAGGAAGGGTGACGAGCCACCGGCTTTCCAAAGCACACGTGCACTCTGTACCTCTTTTTAATCCTGGCCGTGATAGAGGGCAGATCCTCAAGTCTGGCTTTTTTTTTTTTTTTTTGGATATAAACATGGAGACATTGTCACCTGCCCTACCCACCTTCCAAGACTGTTATGAAGGTCAGACGTGGTCAATGGAGCAGGGTCAAGGTGGACAGGAGGAGAGAACCCCCATAGATAGGCTGGAGGAATGCCCACCTGTGTGATTTGACCTGTCCTGGGCCAAGGAGTGCTTCTTCATTGCCCCTAAAGTTCCGTTATCAGCAATAACTTCCTCTGGATAAGCGTGCGCCACTTCCTTCAGATCTTAGCTTTAAAATACGAATTCTGGGGTGGGCATTTGGCCTAGCAGTTAAGACGCTGTTAGTGCATGCACATCCCACATCAGAAGACGGGAGTTCAAGCCTGGGTTCCTGACTCCAGCTTCCTATTAATGCAGACTCGGGGAGGCAGTGGTGGTGGCTCAGTGGAGTCAGGAAGACCTGGATTGAGCCCCTGATCCAGCACAGCCCTGGTTCTTGTGGGCATTTGTAAAGTGAACCAACTGATGAAATCACTCTCTCTCACTCCCTCTAAAACACATAAACATTAGAATAAAAATTCTCTTGGGGCAGCGAGCTCCTGAAATCTAATGTAAATGCGGTTACCAGACGTGTTTTGCCCCGGCAGGTGAGACGGCATCACGTGAGGTCTCTGGGCTCTTGAGTAAGTCTGAGAACTGTGATTCTGGAAGCCTGGAGGAGATGATTGATTTTAATCAGTCAGCCCTCACAGTTGTGCTGCGGCTGAGAGAAGATACTTGTAGCCAAACTGTAGACCCCCTAGCTCCACTCACACGTGAGATGGGAGACTGTCCTCACCCAAAGCTTCTGATAGCATACTGCACCATAATCCAGAGGTTTCCATGCCACCAAGCTTTTTTTTTTTTTTTAAGATTGATTGATTGATTTGAAAGGCAGGGTTACAGAGAGGGAGAGAGACAGAGGCAGAGAGAGAGAGAGAGAGAGAGAGAGAGAGAAGTCTTCCTTCTGTTGGTTCACTCCCCAAATGGCCTCAGTGGCCAGGACTGGGCCAGACTGAAGCCAGGAGCCAGAAGCCAGGAGCTTCCTCTAAGTCTCCCACATGGATGCAGGGGCCCAAGCACTTGGGCCATCCTCCGCTGCTTTCCCAGGCGCATTAGCATGGAGCGGGATCAGAAGTGGAGCAGTCGGGACTCAAACCAATGCCCACATGGGATGCGAGCACTGCAGGCAGTAGCTTCACCCTCTGAGCCACAGCCCCAGTCCCACCAGTCAACTTTTAATTTGCCTCTTACTATCACCAGCATTTCATGACTTGGAGGACATTTTAGTATTCAAAGAAGCCAAAGGACAAAAGACTAAGACTAAAGGACAGTCCTTTTAAATAAAACAGAGTTTTATGAAAGCTCCCTGCCTTGTCTTTATTGTTCCTAGCTTTCTAAGGCAGTACAGTTTCTCCATCTCTCTCCATAGGGTGGTGTGGGGAGCAACTCGGACTAGACTAAGTTACTGGAATTAAGACTTATTCTATGCATCTGCTCTCCCACAATATGGCGCTGAGAAGGGAGTAACAGCTTCTACACAGCTGCCTCCAGTTCAACCAATAAACTGTAGGACCTGCTCCTGATTGGAGGAGAGCAGCGTGTACTCGGCGTGTGGGTAGCAGAGTTGGGATTGGTGGAAGAGGACTATAAAGGAGGAGAGAGACAACATGCACCAGGAACATCTAAGGGGAACATCTATCTGAAGGAACACCTGTGCAGCCCCCGAGAGAGCCAGCTGGTGGTGTGCCACTCCCCTGCGGAAGTGGGGAAAGTGGCTAGGGGGAACCGCCCTTCCATGGAGGTGGAAGGGACGGCAGCCAACCCGGGAAGAACCAGCAGCAAACCCGGGGAGGGCCGAGCAGACAAAAGAACAGCGCAGGGTCCTGTGTCGTTCCTCCACGAAGAGGGGGAGCGACAGGGTGGTGCTGACAGTGACGAAGAACAGAGAATCAAGGAGAGACAAAGAGTTCACTGAACATTTACTTGGTTTTCCTAATCATACTCCCCGCTTCTCCCCTATCCATCTCCGGGTCACCCGTTCTTTGGTAAAGGACCTTGGCATACTCACGAGGATGAGTCCCAGGGTGTGTGTGTGTGGGGGGTTAATGCTGTGAGCGACTCTCTGGGTATCACTTCTGTTCTGGGACACATCAATTTGTTTTCAGCAAAGCCCTTGCTCAGCCCATGCCCCACCCACCCGAACACTTCTGGTTTTGCTTGGGGAGGCGGGATTATTGACTTGCCCCAAGCTCAGCTCAGCAGGATCAGATGGGACCGGGTGCTGGAGGCTGGCATGGTTCTCAGAGGAGGGAGCAGGCCTGCCTTGCAGCTGGTGTCTAGGCAGGTGCAGGAGACACTGGCAGAGCCCGTTCCACTGGCAGCTTGGGCAAGAGCTGGCCCACATTTTTTCCTGCTTGCAGTTGCCTCTGGCAGAAGTGGACGTATTCTGCACGTCCTGTGGCAGCACCGAGCCCAGTGCAGCCAGCCTG